TTCCCCTGCCGTGCCTGCTCTGGCAGCAAACCCGCAGCCAGCTGAAGTTTCCGAGCCTACCTGCAGCACCTCGTGTGTCACTTTTCCCTGTTAATTCGCCAGCTCACCGGGCCGCTGCTCCCTTCAGCCGCTTCCCCGGGGGGGAGAGCAGAGGGTACCGCCCGGCCGCGGGGAGCACGTACGGTGCCATGTGCGGATCTTACGCAACGAAAGCACGAGAGACACGCAGGACCAGTTTGGATCGGTGCTTTGCTTCTAGGGATCCCTTAGCCTTAACTGCGTGTAGGTGCTTGCGTTGGATGACTTCATTTATAAGATTCATTCAAGGTTCATCGCTGACGCTCCAGAAGATTGCACTGACATTTCTTTTAACTCACATTAGTTTCTGTCTGACAGATACCGCGCCATGTTTGCGTTTTTGGTACTGCTGTGTCAACTACCCGCGATGATGTTTGCATTTCCTCACTGCACGGGGAGATTAAATAACTTGAAGCAACCTGAATGGAAAGACGGTAACTTACTTTTAATGTGATTTTATGCTTTCCAAAATAAAATTGTACTAACTTTGCTTCTGCTGAGAAATCTTTTTATGAGTTTTAGTGGTTTTAGTGGTTTGGGGTTTTTTCACTTCATTAAAAAAATAGAGGTTTTTTATGCTAAATTTTAGAATATTTTAATATCTTGTGCTGAAATGATTGATAATTGTCTTGGGTGTCGATATTAAGTATTTAGCAGATCCAGCAGCAAGTGCAGATTGGGACAACTGAACTTTCTTTAGGTCTCTAGGATTACTGTTACTGATATAACCAGCATCCTCTAAGTAAAATCAAAATTCCAAGAGTTTGAAATCTGTATTAAGACAGTACTGCTTTGGTACTATTAAAAGGATGGATTTGTTTTTTGAAATTGATTTTTTTTTTTTCAATACCAGATAACCTTACAACACCTTGAAATATAAACATAGTGCTATATTGCAGTTCTTCACTTTGGAGGGAGGGAGGTGGAGAGGAACTGAGGTAAAACCAAATTAAGCTCCCCAAAAGAACTCAAGCAGTACGATGCTAAGCCGTGTGACACTTCACGCGTAAGCATCAGGGCTTCAAAAAGGAATTTGTAACTTAGCTGTCCAGTCTCGTCAGTGGGTAGGGAGTGCTGAAACCTTAAGACAGACTTTAAAAAAGTCATCTCATTGAGCAAGAGGCTCCTTCAGGGTAGTATGTTGAGCAGAAAACATGGCTAGCAGAAGAATGGTTGAGATAGGTTATTCATTAAAATCCATATTGCTCTGGGGCATAAAACGTTGGGCTGCCAGGCTGCCTCTTTCCTCTGAGTTCACAGCATAGAACCCTCTCCTGACAGAAGTCCCAGATTACTCCTTTAAAGACGGAGCTGGAAAGAGAGAGGCCCAACTCTTTATTCAGTAATTTAGCAAGCAGAACAGTTGCCAAGAGTATGGGGTACCTGCATGTAGAAGTTACTCCTCCAGCATTTTCTGAACATCTTTTACCAGCAGAGTTCCTTTATTCAGCACATTGTGTGGATGCATTTTTAATTAAATGCTAGGCATCCTAAAACTGGATTTACCATTTTGCTGAACTGTGGCCTAACGACTAGAGAACTGCATTCAGTTCCCTCACGTAGAGGAGAGAATTCAAATCCATCAGTTTCATTCTCCAAATACTAACTTAACCACCAGGCTGTAGGTAATTCGGAGACGGAGTAGATTTACTTTGCCTATGTCCTACAAAATTTAAAAAAAAACGTGCAGATAAGTGGATAAAGACTCTTTGAAAGAGAAGAGGAGCATGTGTCACTGGGAATTAGGGGTCCTACGCTCCAGGGAGCTTGCCTATGTGTTCCATGTTAATTAAAATGCATCAGTAATCTAAGTTAGTTGGGAAGTATAGCAAATACTACTTGCATGGTAAGGAATGAAACATTACTGAGCAAAACTGAAGATCTCTGTTTCAGAAGACTGAATTTATTCTTGTGATTTGCACTCAACCAAGATACTGATAATATTTTCTTCCATGTAATTCTTTTCCCTTTCCACGTGTGGGTTTGCGGGATCTTTTTGGATGAAGTCTTTCTCTCTGGTTACTCTTAGATATAACAGTACTCTAACCTTAGATTTTCTTGCAATTACTTTAGAGTAACAGATTTCCCTTCCTACACAACGTGTGCGCACACGTGTGGCTCCTTCAAATATGTACTGTAATATTATGTAAATATATACGGTAATATTCCTTCAATACTATAACATTAAAGACGTAAACAAATGATACGCAAGTTACACTGCAAGTTTCTTAGTTTTAAGAGAGCAAACAATTTTGACATACCATTGCAAGATCTAACAGTTACTATTAGGGTAAAAATTCCCGAATGATGTGCTAATCTCGACAAACGAGCTAATAAGAACACATAGCTAATTTGTAGCTGAGTAACGGCATTCTGAATCTCATTTTTTTAGCTGTCTGGCTTGGTATGTAACAATACTGTTTCTGCGTTACACTTGCAAAAATAATCCTCTAATCATTTTGCTTAACCAAATGGTCTGAATTTCTTGGGAGTACAGATTAAGCTTTCACTGAAAACCAAGCCAGAAAACTTGTTCTGTCATATAAAGATTTTTTTTTTTTTAAAGAAGCTGTAGCAAGAGCAAGCTAAAACTTGACTATGGAAAACGCCTGGTGAGAAAATGCATTCCTGTATTCCAAAGCCTTCTATAATTTCACTAACTCTTCTGGAATCTCACCTCACAACGTACTCCATGAGGCCTCATGGCGCCTGTAATAAGCACAAAAGAAGAAAAGCATTAAATGTCTTCAGAAGCCCCTGTTGTCAGTAAAACTCCTATCGTAGGCTAATTTAAAACAAATAAACTTGGCAATATGCGAAGCTTTAGATAAATCTGGCTGGCACAATTGTGAAAAGAGAACAAATGTAAAACGAATAGGACTCTGCTGCCATGATTTAAAATTGAAATTCCGTAAACAAAATTTGGAACTCACAGATACCAGAATATTGATAAATGTATACTGAGGATTCTTTAGGAGGAGGAGGTTTTTGTGGTTTTCCCTTTTTTGCCTACTTGCCTCCTTCCTCCAGTAGGTCAGTGTCTTACTGGGTTTCCATCTGACTGAACTTCTGCTTTATGCGACTATTACTTCGTTCTTAAGCACTCCAGTAAAAAACTGATGCCTGCATCCCAGAGGGATAATACCAAAGTTTGAACAACAGCTGTCACGGGAATCCAATTCTCTTGGCCAGTATAAGGAACAGCTGAAATGCTTTATGAGAAAGGAAAATATGCTTATTTTATATTGCAGAAAAGTTAGTGGTGAAGATGACATTTTAGGAGGAGACTTCAATGTTTCTTTTTCCTGTATGTAGTTAAGAGATGCTAGGGGAAGAAGGGGTCTCAATGTGCTCCATTAACCATACTTTAAAAATACCAACTTAGCTTTCCTAACTTGTTTTAAATCACCTTTTTTTTAAATCAGTGTTCACATCAGAAAAGGAGGCCAATTTATTCATTGGACGGCATCTTCTGAATAACAGATTTGATTTTGAAGCATTCACAGCAGATAACCTGGAAAGAGAATGCTTTGAAGAGCTGTGCAATTATGAAGAAGCGAGAGAAGTTTTTGAAGACCCTGATAAAACGGTAGCTGTTCAAACGGACTTTAATATACTATATATATATACCATTTATACTATATATGATTATAAATAATTACTGTATCTAAATACTGTAGCCCTTCTGAATACAGCACTTAAAATAAGGTGATTGCGTTTTTTACTGTAGGGGCCCCAGCTGGATGGGGCTAGTGCTTCACAGTGAATACACCTGAACATGTACTGTTGTCTTAAAGACTTTAGATAAGGGCTGCAATTCTGCAAACAAATATAAATGAAACTTCAGATGTACTGCTTGTGGATATACCTGTGTTTTCAGAATGTTTGGGGTTTTTTTAGTAACTTCTTAGCATCCAATCTGAATGTGTTCCACATGCTCTGCATACTAATTTGCTGATCGTGTCCTTGTGTCATGCCAAAGAAGTGTTTTAGAAGAGAGGAGTATGGAGCAAATCCGCAGTTCAGCTATTGTTGAGTATTCCTATAGCACTATCTTCTAAATCACTACCTATATACAGCTTGGAAGAAACCTGGTATTAAAAAAGGAGAAAAACACCTAAGAAACCTTTCAGCCCAATAATGGAACATGACGGTTGTCTGAAGACCGGCTCTTGCTGCACGCAGCAAGAACCTCTCTGTGATTCTAGGTGCGCTCTGCACTAACCTGCAGAAAGAGCAAGGAATACACTCCTGTTCTGAAGGTGGAAATGTTAGCTTGCCATTGCTAGCATTTTCCTAAGAAAAAGGTGAAAATGTTACATTGGAATCCTGATGGAGTCTTTTGCAGGGTAGCAAAAGTGGAAATTATAGCTAAACACATTTCATGCGTAACAGTCATACAACATAAAGGTTTTTCTTTTAAATGAATCCCATTATTTTTCCTAGCTGATATAAATTCAGATACTGTTCATACAAATGTCTAATTCTTCAGAACTTGACTTTGCCTCATTAATACTCTTCCATAGTGATTTACAAAGATTAATTGTAAGCATTTTTTTTTGTGCGAGACTGTGTGCTAATTCCTACTGTAATCAGGCGGAAATATGAGGTAACATTGGACAGTTAAAGGCATTTTTCTCTTTCACCAGCTGGCATTTTCTTCTTTGTGAAATTGTAATTTTTATGCAAACGTAAATGTATGAGAACAACATGGTGGCATAAGCAAATACAAATCCTTCAGCGGCAGTTGCTTCGGTTTGTGCCATTGGTAAATTTTGCCCACAGTACCGTATTAAAAAAACCTATCAGTAAGCTGGCCAATTATATAGCTCATATAAATCTGATCCTTTGTGTTTTTATAGATGGATTTTTGGAAAGACTATTCAACTAAAGGCCCTAAAATAAAAACAGGTAAGTAATCTTTATTCTTTTCTTATATTGCAATATTTTGTGTTTGTCATAATAGTACATTCTTAAAAATACACTGTACATTCAGTTAGCAAAATCAGAATTGATCTTTTTACTGAAGGTCACTGTGAACTGTGCAAGTGTATTGCATTATCTGATACAATAAAACACACTCACTGAAGCATCTTACAGTGGGCTCCATTATAAGTCTGTAGGTAAAAACAATATGAAAGTTGTTGTCCGCTTCTTTGTTTTATTATACAGTCGGTAAACTTTGCAGGAATTCTGTGGCTCTTTTTGTGGTTTTGTTTGTCCTGCCCCTCCCACCCCCCATTTCTTTAATGGGTCAGAGTAGTCCTTCAGGTTCAGAGTAGTCTTATGCCAGATGTTTTATTAAAAAAAATGGTCAGTATGATTTGAGGAAAGATCTACAGCCTGATCAAGGTCACAAGTATATGAAGTAATATTTGGAAGGCATTAGAAGACAGGCGTCTCAACAGTTTTATGTACAGAAAAGGGAATACCTACTTGCTTTTGCTTTAAGCTAAATGTGAATGATACCCTTGGGTTGTGTTGCACAGATGTGGCTTCTCACCGCAAAGTACATTTGTGGAAAGGAACAGCCTTATAGCACAGAAGAATTAGTATTCCACAGTTTATAGTGTATACTGTGTAGGTGGAAAGAATGCATAATGAAAATAACCAATGTTTTATCTTCAGGTGATGAGGCACTGCACAAGATTAATGTTACAGGACTTCTCATCAGTCTAGTTGCTGCTGGAATACTGTTAGTTATAATTTCACTGCTTATCTTTTACTGCTGCAAAAGTAGATGCAAATCAAGGCAACCACCAGGGTAAGGAATTTCACTGCTTTAAAAAAAAAAAAAAACAAACACCAAAACAAACTCTTTCTGAAGAGTGGAATTTAAAAATCACTGTGCGTTGGTCTAACTGTATTCTCAGAGAATCCAATGGGAGTTCTAGTTCTTACTTTCCTGGAAGCAAAGTTAGGTGAGCACTAGCAGTAGTTATGCTGAAGTTAATTAATAACACAAAAATGTAGAACACCACTTGCACGGCTGATGTACCTTTGGGGTTTTTGTTGTATGTTTTCTTAGTTCCAAAATATACAAAAAAGATGGAATAATCTTAATGGGTCAAGGCCTGCAATGGAAAGTTTAACATCATCTGTTCGCTCTTTAAAGTGGGGTGTGTGCTCTTTACAGCATGTAGCCTACCTCAGATGTGAAATGAAGTAGGTTGGAGGAAATGCTTCTCTACCAATTCTCTCGCCATTCTCACTCCTTTATCCTAAACTTGAAAGGCATACAAAAGGATTCTGTGCTTCCTCCTCCCTATAAATTTCACATTACTGAGCTATTCTTACCCTCTGGTTTGGAGAGAGTATTTGGCTTCTGATCTTTATGATCATTTAAGGCAAGTGGGTTTTGGTGGTTTTTTTGTTTGTGGTTTTTTATTTGTTTTGGTTTTTTGGTGGGGTTTTTTTTTGTTGGTTTTGGGGGTTTGTTGTTTGTTTTTTAGGTTTTTTTACAGCTAAGACTCTATTCTTTCTTCCCTTTAAAACAGAAGCTGCCACTTAAAATGCTGTTAACTTTGTTTAGGTACTTGAATTATGTAAGAAGACATAATTCGTCTAGCATCTTCAGAAGGCATGAAGAATTTTCTTTAAACCCACTTCCTCTCAGAACTGACGATTCAGGACTACCAACTTACGAGCAAGCAGTTACTTCAGATGGACAACACGACATCCCACCACCCCCTTATCCAGGGCCCCCCAAAAGGGCACGGGTGTTCAAGAAGTCTATGTCACTTCCTGCCCCTTAGTCACAAATGTCCTTCTGGGGTGAGGGGGGGGATTACTGAAACATAACGTACTTTTTTAAAAAGTGTGTGCTACCTTGCATATTGCAAGACAGTTTAGAAAAATGTGAAAGATCTTTAGCACAACGATAAACAAGTGAAAATCCCATTTGGGAAAAGAGGTGATCTGTTGCAAAGGCTGCAGGGCTATTCTTTGCACAGGGTTATTGGGCTAAGAGGAGGGAATGCATAAAGAGTACATCTTGTACTCCTGCCCTCTTCCCCATGCATTTTGAGCCATCCCATCATACCACTGATGTTTTGTTAACAGTTGTTTTTTTTCTTTAGAAGAAACAGTATTTTAATTGTTTTTATTGACACTAGCCATTTTTGTGACTACTGAATACTTTAAACCACTGTAAGAAGTCTGCTTTGTTGGTTGATACATTCACTTCATTGCTGTGTGAATTTTCTATTCATTCTAGTAATAGATTTGAGTATGAAAATTATTTCATGATTTGATCTTTCAAATGTATATACAATACTGATTCTGGATTACACTAGTTTATGTTAGACGTTGCTGGTTAACACACTACTCAATTTGTTGTATTTTTGTGATTACAATTTTGGATGAAAAGGAACCATTAAATGCATGACACATTAACCATTCAGACAAAATACACTTTTATCAAATGGTTTTGATATTCTCTTTGACCTGGTATTTTGTGCTGAACAAGTAGAGTACTATGGGTCAAGGGATGTTAGGAAATAGCTAGACATTTGTCCCTTGTTAAAAAAGTACCCAGGTTTCACAGATGTTTCTCTTGCAGTTTAAAAATTTAAATGTTGAAAAAGACATTCAGCTTGTTGAATCAAAGGCCAAACTACCCCACAGAAGCACTTTGCCTAAGTTTGTATTGCTCTACTGGGATGACAAAATGGTACCTTTAAGTAGAATGAAACATCACATTGGATAAACAACCAGTATCCACAGAGTAATAGGGAAGAATTTCAGGGAGCTACTGGTTAACTATGTCAACACAATTTCTGTATCTCCAGTTGTAGCCATCCTAAATTTTACATCTTATTATCAACCCCAGCATTATATGGCCTACAGACCTTGCTGAGCAAGTCACAGACCAGCGTTGCTGTCCCTGTACCTCTTAGTCAAGTGGCACCGTAGTGGAAAAGGCTTCCTGTAGTCACAGGAAGCCGTATTAGTTGTGTTGCTCACAGGCAACACGTCAGGCTGGTGTTTTATTACAGTAGCTGCATAGTTGGACACATGCAATGAAGTTTTTTAAGAAGCAACTAATTTCCGCTCCCCCCCCCCGCCATTTGACCAATGCTGGCAGCAGCAAATGGTATTTTAATTTGGTGCCCAAAATGCACATTATAAAGGTTGAATATTTATATGTAACATTTCACTGAATTTTATGTTTCTTAACATGCTAGAATCTACAGTTTTGTTGAGTGAGATGCAGAGGATTGCTATGAGATGTTTAATCTGTAAATGCTTTTGTAAAGAAGAAAATGCTCCAAATCTTGGAATATAAAGAGGGTATATTGAAAATGCTACACAAGGAGGTCTTGCCCTTTGAAAAACACATACAACCCAGCTGATACCAGTGAACATTGGACTTTGTGTTCTTATTCCTAAAGCTTCAGCATCAGATTTGTCTTTTGACAAGTCACAAACCTCTTAGCAGCTTCTTTCTTGTTGAGAGATGGGGGAATCCCCTTGTTGGGATAGCTTCAATTCCCTCTTGCCCTACTTGTAAAAACATTCTGAAGTTCTGGGAGGTTACTGTTCTGTGAGACTGAAATGAGTGAATTGTGTGACATTGCTGTTGATAACCAAAATAGAGAGTTATGATGAAGCTATGGGATTATAAGCTTGCAAAAACATTTCTCCCATATTTTTCATTTAGTTAACTATTTTTAAATTTGTTAATGTGCACCTTGAGCTATAGAGCACACTTTTCTCTAGATACCTGGGACTCAAAAATGACTAATTTAGTGGGATTGATAGGAACACTTTCAGGGAAAGGGATTTCACAGGGCTTGTGAGAGTTCAGAGATTCTTTTAATGTTACTACAGTGATGTACACATCTAGCAAAGTAACGTTTTAAATAAACTACAGAAATTGTATAGAAACCTATTTAATCACTTGAAATTTGATTCTTCTGCTATTCCTACAAATCACTTGCAAATGATTCCATGCAATGCAAGCAAAAATCTTGACCTTCCTAATTAATAAAAAACCCCCTTAAGATGGTGTAACTGTTAAACATCAATGCTGTAGCTCTTTGGGCAGTAAACTGCACCTTCCGTAGGGTATAATACTTCAAGTTTACTCAAAGAACCTGCACTTTAGACCCTTGAGGATACTCAAAATATTCGAATAGTGGTTGCATGTAATATGCCGATGTGCAAGACACATTCCACTCATGATAAATGAGCAAAGTTTAAAATTTAGTTGGACATAATGTAAACTTACCTCTCCTTTTAAAGGCAGAAAATTCCCTTGAATGGCAGTTGTATGGGTTGAGTTTGGTCTTCTTTCATACATTGACTCCTGGCCCAAGACACTCTTAACTTGTATCTTGTCTCCTTCAGAATTTCTGATTCATCAGGGTTAGCAGAGGAAAAACCAACAAGAGGTCAACTATGGTGACTTGTGACTTCAGAAGTGTTGCCACATTTCTAATTTTTTTACATGCAGTTTCCTTTGAAAATGCAGTTGCTATTAGAATACAGAAAACAGCAAATGTAAGTGTCCTTAGGTGGGAGGAGGAAGAGGAGGAGGAGGTAGCTTTTGAGGAGCAAAGCAGCAGCAAGCTTAATATAATTTGTGTGCAGATATAAATCATCAGTGTTTTGACTTCCAGACTTTCTATCAAGGGCCAGTAGGAAAGGCAGTGGATTTTAAGTGAATTAACAGAGATCTGCTACGACAGTTGAAACCAGAAGTGTCTATAAACAAAACACTGGGAAAAATTACATAATACTTAAATTCTGTTTCTCAGAACAGGTTTATACATGTCACACTAAATGCTGTTAGCCATTGCCTTGACCAATTTCCTGAAATGTAGCCCTTTCAGCATCATAAAAGATTACAGCACACAACTTTTTATAAATCAGGACAGATTATTAGTTAGAGGAAATAACTGAGGGTCAGAAAAGTGGTCTCTGGCTCTGCCAACTAAAAAGTAAATCACTTAACCTGTTTTTTTGCTTCAGTGACACACTATTTGATTTATCAAATCCTCTAATGAATAGTATTGTAAGCATTATGTACTTCTAGTTTTTTGGGGGTTTTTTTGCTATGTTTTAGTTTTTTTGTAAATTCATTAGGAGAACAAAACCAAAGTGCACATAGAAGTGCACTTCCTCACCACAGTTCATGAAAATGCGGGCCATGAAGCATTTGACTGTGGACCTATCAAAGTCTATGGCAAGCTTTTTATTGGCTTCAGCTGAACTGGGATAGGAGCCAAAAAAGAAATAACTGATCACTTCAGGTAATAAAAGTAGAATGCTCTGCCAAATTACTTACCACAATGCTGTTGCCAAACCTGATTTACAGTATTCTATTGTTTTAATGATGCCTACTTACATTAACTGGAATGTTTGAGGCTGATCTGCCCTTAAAAAGTACATTTGAAATTTGGAAAGCACAGGAAAATTCCTTGTCTTTCCTCAGATTACCAGCTGCGAATAGGCTGCATTAATTACCTCTAGGTTATTAGCAACACTGATTACTTTGAACAACAGTATAGGTTTATTTAAAGCTTAAAATAAAATCCCCCAAACCCATCAACAACAAAACAACCTTTCTATCCACAGTCTCACCTGCCAACAAGTTTTACAGCTGCTATCCTCACTTGTTCCATGTAGTGTACAGAGCAGGAAGGAAACCCCAGGTCTAAAAGCCATCTTTCAAACACTTCCAGGCTTGCTCTTTCTATACTGTAAATGTTTTTTAATTAATTCCTAGCATATGGAAACTTACCACTACTATAATTATGCACAATCAAGAACTTGCATGTATTTTCCTCTCAAAAAATTTAAGAACACCCTCCCAAATACCCTGCTCTTTATTCAGCTGGTAACATTTGACTGTTTCCAGTTCCATTCTGAACTATGTAAACAGTTCTTGCTATTAATCTTATGAACAAATTTCCTTCTGCTCATCTGACAAAGCCTTTTGAATCCACTTGTCAGTGGTTATATTTTAATTCTTTGATGTTAAGCGCTCTCATATTGTTGGGGGATGGGTAGCGATATTTTAAACTCTGCTAGTCTCTATATATTTTGTAAAACAATTGCCAAATAAATGTTTATGCAAGTTAATTATAGCAAAAGAGAGAATGCTACTTAGTTTTTTTTTTAAAAAAAAGCTAGCCAAAACTCAGATTAATAAAATATCCCATCTAACTTTTAACCTCTGTGTCCATTAATAGAAAGCCAGCCCATTCACTTTGAAATGTCAAAACCAATTACTGCAAAACTGCCCTGACTAATTTGGCAAAATACTGAAGTGTCAGCAAAAGACCAGCTCCAGCTGGGAACAGCGAGTCCTACGTTGTACCAACAAGGGAAGCAATAGTACTTCCGCTAGCATTCAAACTACAGTTTAGTTTGCTGTTGACCCCAAATTTTCCCCAGGTGGACATCATTCCTCTATTTTGCCATAAAATACCTTATCTTTTCCGTAACTTCACAATGGCAACTACACTAATTTCTTATATGGAAAATAACATAACAGTGTCAAATGTATTTTGGTGATTTTTGATGCAATAAATTTTGTCCATGTTGAAAATATATTAACTACTTTTGCTTTACATTTAACTTTTCATTTCCTTCTGTTCTTTTTCCTCACTGTTCTACCTGTAATTTGCTATTGAACTTTTTTCCTTCTCCAATTCCTTTTTCTGTGTCTATTCATAATCTAATCTACTATTGCACACACTCACCTGTTTGCTGCTTAATTTATTTTTCTTTTCTGGACATGGTTCCCAAGCACTTGGTCCTCTCGCACTCTCTGAAAACCACTCTTCTTGCACAGTTTCCCATGTCTCTTCACAGAGACAGCAATGCCTTTAGCTCCTCCTTTCCCTCCTGCTTTCAGAGTCCTCAGGGTTCTCTGCATAGCACCTAGACTACAAAAACACTGAAACAGAAGGGGCCCATCAGATGCAGGCATCTTGCTACCTATATTCTGGGAGCTTCTAGAAGCCAACACTTTGAACGTAGCAGCCAGACTTCAAAAGATCAGGAAAAATATTCTAGACTAGAAACAGTCTAGAAATTGGTACACTCAAACACAAGTTTTGAAAAGGCCTTATAACAAGTTTTAAATTTCTGATGCACTGCCTACTTAATTTAGGAAATTAGAAATGCCTGTGATGCTCAGGTTGTTCAAGCAGCTTCAGTTTAACTCCTCTAAAGATCAGCAACTACTAAGCATTGAACATGCAGACACCCAGTATTTAACATTAAAGACCTAGCATGGAAATGACAGGAAGGAAATATCTAGTAAAACTAAAATACTGCCCATTAAAACTTTGAGTTTGTTCACGAGCAAAGGTTTTATTTTTCTTTTTCCTACATGTCATTGCACGTTTCTTCCACTTACCTTATTCCAGCTCTGGTGCTTACTAGAACTCTTCGTAAATCATCCAGCAAAAATGCAGACAGCTTTCTTGCGAGTGAGTGAGTTGAATTGACACAAGTGCTGGTGGTGGTGCCTTGGAAGGTGTGGGACCACAGGACCAGGGGGAGGACTGGGAAAGGGAAGGAAACAAGGCCTTCCATCGCACTGCTGCACTGAGCTTTCTACCAGAGAGCTCAGTCATCTCTTGTCATGTCAGGAGAAGTACTGTGGTTCAGTGGATCAAGTTTAGTTTAACAGAATGAATTCTGAGGATTTTGCTTCATTTGTTTGTACATATACTTAAGCTTTTGCAAATAAATGCACAGACTAGTATATGTAAAGAAATGCCAAGAAAGAGTATTTGCTGTGAGGGAAGATCAAGTGTGTTATTTGAAAGGCAGCACTTTCTTCCCTATTTACACGTTTCTTAATATCTTGCTTTGTATGTTTAAAGAGGCCATGTGCCAAATTAAATGCAAAATCTAACCTGTTAAGCAACTGCAATTTTCTATTTGATCAGAGTCACAATTACAACAACAAAAAACCCCAATCAGTGATTAATAATACACCTAACCAAGACTCATGTTATTACTGCATAATAATCATTGACTTACCCATTGCTGCTCACGGAAGATGCTGCAGCCCCACAGAGCACATAGAAAGCCTGCACAAAGGTGCCGCATCCACTATCTGTAAGCGGATGTCTACTGTCTATCAGTGTTCAACAAAGAAAGACTGCACAAATTTTGTTTTGTGCTCTTTTTAGAATTTGTTAGTAAATCAGACCCCACTCGGCTTTGGCCTGAACTTCTTCAAACTTCATCCGATCAGACATGTTCAGATAATTTGAATGTTTCCTCTTTGAAACATCAGTTTTCAAAAAAGAATGTCCTCAAGTCTCCAAAACACTATTCTCAAACAACTGTGAAGAATCATTCTCTCAGCACAAGGCTAACTTAAGCATTTCAAGAGTTTTTGTTGACAAATGGTTAGCCACCAAAAGCCAACCACTAAGATGTTTGTGTACATTAGCAAACTATTTATGTTACTGTGATAGTTCCAAAATAAAGTACTATTATGAACTGAAATACAATCCTTTTTGCCCACTTTCAACAACCAAGCTGTAATCTCAGATTTGCAGCGTTAACCACATGCCATGCCTTTAACTAGTTTCTTCGACCAACACAGCTGAAGATGCTGATCCAGCACGTGCATCTGACTATTCTCCCATGATTCTTTTCAGCCCATCAAAAATTGCCCTGAAGCACACCAAGAATTTTGCTGCAAAACCAACAGTTTACAGATTCAGCTGAAAGCCTCTTAAATGCAAGAAAAAAAAAAAAATTTTGGTACTTAAACATGAGGGAAGACCAAAACCAGGCATCATATGCTATGGAAAGGCTAAGGACAAGAGTAATGCCCTCTGTGGAAGAGGAGGGCATATAGGGATAGAGAGACATTGGAAAAGCCTTGTAGAGCCTGGTTTGTCGTACCTGCAGTAAAAAGAGTGCCAAAAGCACAGATAGCAACTGCTGGCCCTATGAAGAATTGCCCTGTTCAGTAACACCTGCTGCTGCATGCACAAGGACCCTTAGCAGTGCTATCCCGGAATTTAACATCTGCGGTACTGTTAAAGCTGTAACATACCACGTAGCCTTCTGCCTGGCCAGTCTTGTACGTACACAACATACAAAGTACTCAATCACACTCAACTCAAACACTGGCTGATATTTTTCTGTTAACATGGGTAATAATAATAGCACATTAAGCAACAAAAAAGTTTCTAAATAAATAAATCTGTTACAAATAAATAGATCAACACCAAGTGTGAATTGGAGTATTATTCTGGCCATGGATTTGTGATTGATGTATTGGTTTTAATTACAATCAATTCACAGGAAACTGCTAGCTATCCATTAGCTTAATCCTGCATTTCATTTGGCACACAGTCACTTTAAACATAAAACTAGACCTCAAAAAGCAATATTGCCATTCAGCATTGTGTAACATTAAATGATTTAAACAGAAAGAGGAAAATAGGAAAGTTTCCCTAAGGGGCAGTGTCTATTAGCTAATACAGTTCTGCAACAGAGCTGGCTTGATTCTGGCTGAACCAGCATATGGGCAGAGAAGCCTGTTACTGTCCACAGAAGTATATCCTCGAGCACTCCTAGACTCTGTAGAGCCTTCTATACTGAATATACCCCGAGTCAAGCCAACATGTCACCATCGAAAGTAAAAGTTCCCTGCTCCTTCCTGTCATCTCCTTCCTTTCCCAGCTGCTTCTGGCTGCACACTACCACTGCTTGCCCCGAGCCAGCACTGATTTGATGCAAAGCAAGCCGACTCAGCTCAGCGGAATTACAGAAAAACAACCTCTGGCAAAAAAAGTAAATGTTCTTTAGCTGGTAGACTGAATTTACTGCTCACCTTGTGGCCAGAGCGCATTGGTAGGAGTGGGAGGGTGGAGCAGGGAAGGAGGAAGAGAGTAAAGCAGCTGAGCCAGCTGCAAACAGCTGAGGCAGCCCAGCCCTGCTGCCACACCACACCTGTAGGCAGCAGCGCACGCTGCGGCTGCGGCTTTGAAGATCACTCCTCGGACCTTAGGCAGAGGATTCCCATTAAAGTATTACCTTAAGTGCTTAGGTCTGTCTCCTAACCATCACATGATGTTTTCGACTCTGTACGGGACTTGTTACGTACGTTATTTTTCCAAGTAGAGACTGTTCATTTAGGGGAAGAAATAAGCAACAAAAATTCAATACTGCCCCAGGCTGGTATGCCACACAGATTGTGTTACAGTGCTGTAATTTAAGATTTTGCTCTTAAATAGAGTGAAAATTTGTATTGGTTTATGTTTCAGCAAAATATATTTATTATATTAAGTTCTTGACCTGAGAGATAAGCACATACAATATCATTACTGGCTACAGGCACTCAGTTGTGAACTATAGTTTGGAAGGTGTTAAAGCCCGCCACAGCTCAGTTCCTAAATGGCAAGTAATCGCTGTGTTTGAAACAAAATCATTCCTTATTAACACCAGAATCAAAATACTTTCAATATTCAGAATCATAAACATGACTAATATGACTACCTAATACACATCTTAATATGTACACTTTAATCTACACATTAAAATAACATCTGTAATTAACAGGATCTATCAAAGGGTTTTTTCTACCGCTGACATCTTTCAGAAAAGCTGCTGCTTTTAAGTATCATGGGTAACAGGATACTGTAAAAGCACTTACTCTGAACAGACTCTTTTGTTGTCTTACAGAATGGTGTTACAAAACATCTTTTGGTTACAAAAAGATAAAATGCACAAACTTCAGGGTAGCTTTCTTAGAGAGGATGGCAACAAGCAGCATGGATCAGTTTAATGAGAAAACTGTGAAAGTCTCACCGGCAGGTCTCGGGACATGTAGATTTCTCTCATACACAGGAAAAGCAAACTACTGGAAAAAGTGACTTTGTCTGGTGGTTATGGACATGAGCAATGACATTTTCGTTCTACTCCACCTCTATTAAAACCACGTAAAATAAATTAAACTTAACAAGAGCTGTCACAGCTGCCGTTTCACTCAACTTCACTATTTGATTACAAGAAAGAGTATATACTCCAATGTTCAGGGAAACTCTGTGTCTGTGGTATATTGACAATTAGTTCATTTAGTGGTCTAAACAAATTGTGTATCTGTTTCCCTGCCTGTATATCTGGACCGGTGCTCGTTGTTTGTGATTTCTCATATAACATGATTTTACAGCCATGTATCTAACAGTATTAATGCACACCCCCCTTCTCTTCAGAGAAATATCCTGTAATGAAAATACACAACATTATGGTACTCTTTAAAGTTCATGTTGCCACTACTTGGGAAAAAAACCAAACAAAACACTAGCAGGTTTACAATTTACTAATATGTCCTTCCAAATTTGTGGCAAGAAACTTTTAAGGTAGCTTCAAACCAACACGGTTGCTCCAGATAACCAAACATGACAGCTAGGTGGAAAAGGCATTCCATATCACTTAGGTCCATGTATCGCCCTTCCCTCAAGCCCCCTTGAGGTAAACAATGCACTGTAAGTGTAATATTATAATGGAGATTAGCAGAGATCCTGCAGGGAAATCAAAACCTGTAGGTCCTTCCCCGCTGGAAATGCTACTTTCAATAGTATCAGCACCGTAAGTGCTTCATCATTAGCATAAAACTGGAGTCATTTTCTGTCATCAGGCCTCGTTCATATGTAAAACAGCAATCCTCGTGTTTCCCAGGGGAAGAACGTCCCCCAACCCCCACATACTCTCCTCCAGCTGCAAGCAATACAGGTGCTAACTTATGCAAACACAAGGAAAACTCACTCTGCTGGTTTCTGCCTCTGGTAAGCTTCTTCTCTTCTTCTCCCTCCTCCCTCTGCCCTGGCCTCTGGGTGACTTCGCTCAGTCTCGGTGCCGATGACTTTCACGCTTACCTTTCCCTCCTGATCCAAGGCTGCATTTTTGCCCATAGTTGACTTTGCTCCTTCTTGAAGCTAGGCATGAGAAAAGCAGAACCTCAGCTTCCCTTCCTACAGTCTCTTACCTTCCTGCTTTCTCATTTAACACTGACTGCTCCTTTTTTTCATTCAAGTGTTGAGATTTTTTTTTTTTTAGCATCTAATCTGATTGGCTGTAGTCAAGTTTCTGAACTCCCCATTTCACTACAAAATTCATTTAACTCTGTGGTTCGATGTTGCCTGGAGTACTACAAACTGAATCTTCAAAAGACTTACTTACTCATTAGCATACACCTTCCTCATCTGAGCAATGCCTTCAGGTGCAGTTGCTCTCTCTTTTTTCAAGTGCATACTCCTCATCTTTACCTCTCAGGCACATTCCTCTTTGCTCCTCTCTGCCTGTGTACCTTCAACCTGCAGGGAAAGCACAACACTGTTGTCCACCCACCATCTCCCTACCCCACACCCATGTCCCCTTTGCTCCTACCCTGTTCCATGCAGCTGGTACCCTCTTCCCCTATAATTTAACAAGCACCCAGCCAAAGGTACAGCAATTTACTGCCTGTGCACCAGGTGCCTTAGATTGCTCTTAATACTTAAATTTTCTGTCTGTTCCTCTCACTGTTTGACTTTTGGCCTATTCAGACTCCAGGCCTGCAATAACTGATGAATACCGAAGTCTTTAGGAAAGCCTTGATATACCTGTATGTTAGAGGCTTTTAGCTTGTAAAAATAATAAAAAAAAAAATAGCTAAGGGGCTGTGCTTTTATGTTATTTAACCTCCATAAAGCACCCTCGGAGCCACCACCAACCTAAGGCGCTGGAAGCGGCAAAAGGCTCTGGTGGGAAACGTGGCCATGAGCTTTCCCTGGTGACTCCCAGCCCCACCGAATTTTTTTTGTTTAATTTTATATTCC